TAATAAAAAAATTATCAAATCAACAAATCGTTATAAAGACAAAAATCCTCTTCTTTTTCCATTGCATCATGAACATCGTCGAAAAAATCATAAATGGCCAAATTTGGAAGGAAAGGTTTTAATGGATTCAAAGTTAATATTTAATAAAAAATTAAATTATTGGACATTTGTTTGGGTTTATGGTATGTTTAGCTTTTTTCTATAGGTTTTTAAATATAACTACTATTAATTTATCTTTTATGTTATAACAGGTAAAAATGTTGAAAATTGTGATGATATTCAAATCACTGAAAATCTCAATGTTGTTGCTATTGATCCTGGTGTTCGTACTGGTTGGTCTTGGTATTCTCCATCCAAAGGATGTGGTTGGTTTGGTAACTTAGATATTAATCGTATATTCCGTTTGTCTTTATCTTTGGATGATATTTCTCGGTATATTATTTTTTATATATATATTTTTATTCTTTTATAAGATTCTTAATTATTATTATATTTGTAGAACTACTTGTGCTCCTCCTAAAAAGAGAAATTCAATGAAAAGAGCTCAGGCCCGTTTACGGCTTCGCATCCAAAACCTTATTAATGAATGTCATAAAAAAGTTGCCTTGTGGTTTCTTTTAAACTTTGATGTCATTATTATACCACCTTTTAATGGATCTGCTATGTCTCATCGTCTTAATAGAAAAATCAATTCAAAAACAGTTCGTAAAATGCTTACCTGGGCTCACAGTCGATTTCGTAATCGTCTTTTTTACAAGGCTGAAGAATTAGGTAAAAAGATCATTATTCAAAATGAAGCATATACAAGTAAAACTTGCAGGTTTTTTATTTTCTTTTTCACATCTATTTTAAATTTTTTCATCAATTTTAATATCTATTTGCTTTATGCAGTTGTTGTGGATTTATTAAATATAACCTGGGTGGAAACAAATTGTTTAAATGTAATAAATGTGGAATAGTGATGGATAGGGATATTAATGGTGCTCGGGGAATTTTTCTCCGAGCTTTGCTTGATGGGGCTGTTTGTGTATAGTGAATTCATTATATGCATACACTAATTGATTGTTTTATATATAGTAATATATATTAATGATCGATTCAATCCATCCGGAATATTAATTTTATCGATTCCAATTAATTTAATTTAATTAATTGTAACGCTGGCGCAGTACTTTAGATCATTAGAAATTTTGTTTGTCACACATTTTGATCATGAGTTTTTCTAAGCAAGCAAAAAAAAAAAGAAAGAATTTAAAAAATTACGATTCCATAGTTATGGTTGGTTCTTTTTGAAACATAAATCAAATTAGTCGACATGCAATTATTACGATCCATAATTTTGGAAAGAAAACAATGAATCGAAATATGCAAACACAACAAACAACAAACAACAAAAACCACCAATCACACAACACTCACACACATATAAATATATACGCATACAAACGTACACATATACACATATACACAAATAATTATAAAAAGATTACATGTATAAATATCACCGCTCTTTACCTAGCTTGTTAAAATTTCTATATTCACAAGAACCATGTTTCAACCTCATCATCGCGTCGACATGGATAGAACGGGAGCGTATTCTAGCTCAACTCAGAAGTTGGCTTCTGCTCAATCGTACCACAATGGTAAACCGAACGCAATGATAACTAAGGTGTCAATATCACCAAAATCAAAATATATGTTAACATATAGACAAGAAATCAAATTATTTGAGTTATGGAGTATCAAAAATAAAAATAATTCGCCCATTAAAGTCATCAGCGTAACTTCATACGATGATGTTCGTGACTTTAAGATCTCTGACAAAAAGGTTATTTTGTATGAAGCTAATTATGATGCTAAAGGTGAGGGTTAATTTATCATTCAAATTAACAACAAATTTTGAATGTTAATTAATTTATCTTATGTTTAGTAAATTTCTTTAGTTTGAAAAATCAAATAAAAATAACAAACAAAATTTATGAACGCTTTGAGTACAAGTATACAAACATACTTAAAAATGGAAATTTTGTATCATTTAGTAAACCCCTAGTTGCTACTTATAAACCATCAAATATTCGAACTAAGTCTGTTTATGTATTCAAGGAAGAAGTTAATTATGGTGGCGTTACAAACGATAAGATGTGGATGACATCATATGATTCGATATTTATAATGGATTTATATACTTTTCAATTTCAGATGGTTCCCCTTTTTGTAAGTATAACATTTTATAATATGATTTATAATATTACAATAAATTGGTGGTAATATATAATTCATTATTACAAATAGGAAATGAACCTAAATCCTAAACAATTAGACTTTAAATTTTCTGAAAATTTATTAAATGAATTTATAATGAAAGTCAATGATACATATCATATTTATTCCAATAATGTTCCAGTTGGAAAGATTACGGATACAGGTATGATTTCATATCACATCTAGTATGCGTCTAATCCCTTATAATATTAATTTTATTTATTTTTGATTAGATGCTCGACAATTTGATTTTGCTGGAAGTAATGATGAACTTATGATTACATTATCAAGTGGTAACACCATCAACATTTACTTTTGGAAATCAAATTTAGAAAAATCAATTAACTTCATTGAATTATTTGGATCTGAAGATCAATTTAAACTTATTGAATTTAGAGGAAAAAAGGCCTTTGGAATTTGTAATGAAGAACCTAAGATTATTGATATTTCAGACGATTTGAAAAATCACATAGTTAATGATAATATGAATAATTCAATCATTAACGAAGATAATGAGGACATGAATTTATTCAGCGAGAATCTTTTGATGGATTTAAATCAAAATCTTAATGTTCCAATACAAGATGAAAGTGATTTTTTTAAAAATTATCTTACATCGTATTTGATGAACCGTGAAACCACTGGATATATCTTTGAATTAATTGAAGAAAGTCAAGATAAAATGATTTTAAAAGTTAAAGTTGACAATGAAGAATTTACAAGTAGCTTACAACACGTCGAATCCTTGGAATGGAATTATCAGAAAATTAATAATACATATATTGCATATAATGAGAAAGAATTATTTATTTACACCTTTAATTTAAGATCCAAAGAATTTCGAACGCATCGTTATGATCTTAGATTTTTAAAATATGCAATTAAACATTATAATAATCGCATATTGGATTATTCAGACATCGCTGATATAGTTGATCCATCTGATGATGAAAATAAGATTGACCAATTATTTGGTAATAATGAATCAAAAAAAGCAATGGATCAGTTATCTATTAAATTCAAAATACTATTTCGCATTATATGGAGGAAAATTATTAAAATCAGCAATTAAAAAAAATAATATAGATTTATTAGGCAAAATTTTTAACAAGACCATTGAAACTTTTGAAGAAGATCCGAAAAGTAATATTTACATATTATCAATAATATGTAACAATATTTCATACTTGAGTTACAAATATTCTGATTTCATTTCAAGATACTATAATGATATGTCTTTAATTACCCCCTTTTCGAAGCCAAAGATTATATATAACGAAGGTGGCTTTGAACATCTTCATTCATTTAGCATGGAATCAAACATCACTAAATTACCGCATAAAAAATTTCTTAAATCTTCGTTTGATTATGAACCAATACGTATGATTAATGTTTTAGTTCCCATAGCAATTATCCTTATGGTTCTGGGATGTATATTTTATTATAAGATGGGTGTTTCTGATGTAACTGCATGTGCTGCATTATCTTTTTTTAATTTAATTCCTTTACTTATGCCATTTGGTTTACAATACTTTGTTTTTCTCATACAAATATTTACAATTTGGACAAATGTTATATCCAGCTATTTTGAATCAACCAATAAATTAGCAATTGAAATGATTTCACTTATTATAATAGTAGCATGCATAATGTCAAGGATATTTATCAAAGTCAAAGAAAAATATAATAGACCAAAAATATTGTTCTTAATCCCATACCCTTATTATGTTTCGTATCCTCCTGATTATAATTGGTTTATTGAAATATTTTGGCCTCAATCCAGCCCATTTATAAAAGCAAATGATATTGAATTGTATAAAACCTGGAATGGAGAATCTTTAGTTAATTTTAAATGGACTGTATTCGGAAGATGGTATTATGCGGTAATTTGGTCAATATATTTGATTTTTCTTAATTGCTTTGTAATGGCAACAAAGTCTCAAAATCTCGAACGAAAGATTTGGTCATCATTATCTCTTTTTTTGGGTCTGTTTCAACTTTTATTTGAAATTCGTCAATTTATTATGGGTCCTAAGAAATGCTTTCAAAATATATGGAATTGGTTTGGTACGTTTTGTTCGTTATTTCAATCAAATACAAAATAAATGCGACTATATTTTAAAAATACTTTTAATACAGATTTAGGTGTTTATTTATTGCCCTCATATATAACAATCCTTTGGCTCATGGATAAAGATAATGAACATATACCATATCTAGTTTCAATTGCATGTCTTATACTTGATATTAAATTTATACTTTTTCTTCAAGTATTTGAATCATTTGGAGTTTATTTTGCTATTATTAAAGGTGTAGCGCGCAAAATTTTTTCATTCCTTATCATTCTTTTTCTTATTATCATTAGTTTTGCGCATGCATTCATTATTTTATTAGAACCAAAAGAACAATTTGGTATAGAAAATTTGGGAGATTTAAAAGATAGCAATAATCCTTGGAGACTTACAGAAAAGTACCATCAAATTGCTGAAGGACCAGATGGAAAATTTATATCAAATTTTACCTTATATAAAGAACCTGATGAGCGTACAAATTTATTTACAAATTATCTCGGTTCCCTTTTCGCGATGTATCTATTCTTAACAGGTATAATATTATCAAATTCTTTGATTCTTTATTATTCATTAGCTAATGTTTGTTTAATTTGCTTTCTTTGCAGGAAATAATCCACTAGGTGCATGGTCCCTTGAAGAAAATATTCTTTTGACCATATTGATGGTTTTATTTTCATTTATAGTTGTTATATTCCTTATGAATTTATTTATTGGACTATTGAATAAGGCGATTGACGCTGATGATGACCGAGTGCATTATATTGCACAAAAAGCAGAGGCTAGCAGAGTTTAATATTTTGTTAATAATATTCCCGATTTGATCTCACTTTCTTATTCCTTTGATTTAGGTCCTTAAAAAAATTGAATTATTTTATCTGCTTCCGCATCAAAGACGCTGGAAATCATGGTTTCCTGATATCGCGTAATTAATTATTTTCCCTCCTTTTCCTTTTGATTCCTTTCAAAAATGAATTTACATCGTAATTTCATATTTTTTTTTTTTAGTTTCTATCATGCTGATGTTTATAAAACTCGTCAAGCTGTAAGGAAATCAATTGCTGACAAAACTTGGAATCCAAATAAACTCGCTGAAATGAAGAGTTCCCTTTTAAACTGTCTTGGAATAGATAATTAAATTCTTTATAAATGTTATCTTTTTATTTATCACGTAAGCATAAATTAGAAAATTATCCTTATCATTTTTAGTTAGACCTCGTAGATCGATTTTTGGCCTGCCAAAAATGTCTGGCCAAATAGAAAATTTAGATCTATACATAGTACAACATATTCCTTTCACTTACTTTTATTCTTTACGACTATATTACCCTCTCCGATTATTTTATTTTTTATTATTCTTTTGTTTAATTGATACGGAATTTTCGGAAACGTAGATCGTCAACGTACTTGATAAATTGATTTTATTAAATAAATTTTTACATCATATTTGTCTATATAAAAAATCTTCCTTTGTTTATAAAAATAAACGTAAAGAAATGAGCGCTACAATATTTTAATAATTAAGTTGCCTAAAATAATTGATAATTAATTTAATTAATTTAAGAAACAATTTGCATTCAAGCCATTACAGCCAATTTTCAAAAGTCACGGGACGAACGATCATTTTACAAACTCGATATAGAATTTTTTGAAAACATAATCGATCAGTATTCCGAATATAGCGACATAATTTTATTACCCATATAAAAATGTGGTTAGCTTTTTCAATGTTCTCGGGAAAGTCCCGGATATTTTGCTGTAATCGTAAGAAAATTTACCTTATATATATAATAATAAACGTATAAATGATAGATCAAATTAATGAAACCTTTTAATGGAATATTCAAAGATGAGTCACCGCGTCATAATCTATTTGTTTTTCTACATAATTTACTAATCCAAATGAAAAATTCTTTACCGACTTTTAAAGTGGTGAAAATAGATATAGCGAGATTTATTAAGGACAGCAAGTTTTTAAATCCGAATCAATTTTCAAAAGAAATGTTCATGTTGAACTCCGGAACTTTTGATCAATGTCCGGAATTTTTGATCGTCCGGAATTAGTCGGCATGAACTCCGGACCTTACTAAAAAGGATAAATTAAATTAATTTATATTTTACAAGACAGAATATACAAAGTTCTTTTAAGACTATTAGTACATTTTTAAGATGAAAATGTTTGTAATACATTCCCGGATTGTCTTCTCCCGTGTCATTTCGAAATGGTTTTTAATCTCATGTCATACATTCATTTTAAATAAAAATTGATACACTGTGCTCATTAAGTTGATTATATAAAAATAATAAATATATTGTAAAATATTACCTAACACCGATTATCTTAAGTGGGGTGGTCAAAAGATAGCATAAGTAAACGAATCCCATGGGCTATTTACTGACTAATCATGATCTTGTTGCCTAAACAATATTTATTGATGCCATGCATGTGTTGATAAGATGACTGTCATTTGAATTTATAAAGTCAATTCATTTGAAGGAGTGAGGCTTTTAACTAAATGGATTATTCTTTATTCAACTTCCAATGTACTGTAGGTAATCTAAAATTTTATCAAGACAATATGAATAGGTTTCTTTTGTTCTTTTGTTATAAACAAGATCAACTGATATGCCATTTTAAAAATAATCTTCCAGGCATTTTTTATTCTCCGAATAAATAAGTGGGACAACTATCAACTAGATTGTGTGCTTGGTATGTTGATGATACACGGAATTACTTTTATGACACGGTCCTAAATATTTTAAGAACCGTACAGGTAATTTGTTATTTGTAATCTGATTTTTTAGATTTACCACCATCAAAGTGTATATAATATATCATTGCATGAACATCATGAGGGAAATTTCCGACCAATAAATGTATGATAAATTGACGCGTAACGAAACTGTAATATCATTTATTATATTTAAATTTTCGGTTTACATTTATTTTATCTAACACAATATAAATAATATCTATAAGCACACATGTAAAATTCTTGTTTGTTCAAATTCTTGCATTTGTTACGCGTATTAAACGAAGATGTATTGTTGTTGTACGTCTAAATTATGTATATATTTAATTTTTTTTTTTAGAAAACACGTACCGTACTACTACCACTTATCATTCAAGATGAATTTTTTTTTCTCAAAAAAATATCTTTGGATTCCAATATAAATATCCAAGCCAAGCACACTTTCTCTCTTATCAGTTAAATAATTCCCAAAGTCTCTTTTTAAATGAATTATCAACGACTTACAAGGATTTCTAATCGGTCAATTAGGACGAAATTAAATGATTTTTTAGGAACCATCCACTATGATGATATATATCGCCTTCCTTATAATGGCAACGTGCAAATACTTTCTATTCAATCAAGAAGTAATGGAAGGGTTCAAATTTTAACAGGAAATGGTTTGATGAAGCGAAATTTAGTGCGCGAAGCTCAAAGGTTACAAATCTATAATCGACACCTGATCAATTTAGCAATGATTTATATATGGAATATACATTCGACTTCATTTCAAAGAGGTCAATTCATAGACTTGGCAAACGATGCGAATATTCTAAATCGAAACCACGTTTCGCGAGGTGATTGGATCAATACCCCTAGCACTATTGATCTTATTTCGAGAATAACGGTTCCACAAATTTCTAGTAATTCTAATGAGCAAAATTTCTTTAACGGTACCTCCTTTAGTGATGGCAACAATTTCGAGTCTTTGCTTTCACCTGACGAATGTTTCTTGGAACGTTTATCCTTCCCTTAAGTTCATCATTTAGAAGTAGTTTTTCAACAACTTTTCTCTGTACTGAAATTCTATACTTGTAATTTATATTTTAACATTTTTCTTTATAATTTATAATACGAATTTGTTTAATTTTTCTCGTGGATTTACAACATTCTCCCTTTCAATAAGAGTTATGCCGCAGAATATTTTAAAGTTGATCAAAAAAAAAAAAATATTAATTTTTCTTCGTTGTTTTAACTAAGCATTCGATGCACTATAAATGAACACAAGGGACCTTTTGTCTCTTTATTTTGCAGTTTTGTTTTTTCCTGCATGGCATAAGATGATGCCATAAATTTATTATAATAAGTTATATTTTTAAATTTTTTATTTTTTTAAATAAAAATCCAAAATCGTGCGTTCCGTAATCAATTCAAAACATAATACTTCATACGTAATACATGCATTATTACGCAATTTGATAGTTCATTTAAATCGGATTATGATTTGTCTATCTCTTTTTTTTTTTGGTTGATATCTGTGTTACCTACCAAAAACAAACATGAAAAATAATAACAACAAAGAAAAAGTTATATTGATTTAGAATCAAATCGAGTTGCCGAAAATACACAAACAGACTACTTCGGCCGGGACGCGGTTATATCCAAAATGGTTCGTGACACCTACTGTTGATAATTATAGAAGCATTTTTAAGAATTTCCGTTGAATTACCGTTGGTTGTTTGAATTTTAAAAATGGTTGGGTGAATTTTATTTTAAGGCACTACTAACCAAAATTGTGAATTTCTGATTCAAACATTTATATTCTTCATTAGTATATAATATGATGTAATTATTTTTTTTTTTTTTTTTTTTTTTTTTTTTTGCGCACTCATCTACCAACCGCGCAAGTACCCGTATATGTGCATTAATATTATTTCTTTTTGATTTCCTTTTTAACAACGTTCAGGCATTTTCGATAATCAAATCTTGTTTTCTTCCTACAGGTTGGTGTTGAGTACAATTTTTAATATTTACCAACTATAAAAATATCAAGTCGATTCAATGAACCTCGAATCAAACTTGCGTCACCGGTGCTAATATCTTTTTTTTTTCCCCGATTGGGACAAGATTTTGATAATTTATCCAAACAAAATTTGCTTTCTTGATTTAAATCCTTTTTCCGAAATCAATCATTCTCCCTAAACTATGTCAACATTTTTTTTTTTATAAAAAAAAAGTCGCGTTTCCCGAGATTTCTACCTAAAACTATTTATAAATATGCATTACAAAGTTGTGTGATGAGGATAAAAATAATCATCAAATGAATTAATAATTCATTTTGTATTTGAATTATAACGATTAACGATTACAACAATGATTGGAGAAATCTTCTGTTTCAAATGATGATTTGTGATGTAATTAATGCTTTTAATTTTGTGCGACCCAACGACAATAATTATTATCTTACATTTAAAATTTCCAATTGAAGAATGCAGGAAGTTATGGTGGATGGATGTAATTTCTTGCGTTATTAGCAGGAGAGCTGAACTCGATTGAATCTTTGAGCGAGACTTGAAAATTCCTCAATTTCTTAATTCATTCTATCGACGTAATTCATGCATTCAATATATAGACTTTGCGAATTTCTGAAAAAAACCAAACATCTTTTTTGAAATGATGAGGGAAAAGCACCTATGAATAAGAGGCGGGGTTAGTTTTGAATAAGGAAATGCAATTAAGGAGTGTATAAAAAAAATAAACCACGATAACGACTTAGATGAAATCTTTCACAGGTACTATATTCAAACAAGGGCGTAAAAAATTTGATTAGTTTGAAAGGTCGTGAATTTGATTGATGATTTTTTCTTAAAGAAAAATAAAATCATCCTAATCGTGAGAGTTTATTAAATAAATAAATTATCAAAGATGTCATAATTTACTATTTACATCAAAGTGATCTATTTATAAAGTAAGGGGCGAATTTATTTCAATTCTCAATGGACAGATAATTTAATTTTTTTTTTTTTTTATTTTTTCTCAATTGATTAAAGATTTTCTCTTTGAA